TGGTCGACTGCTCGACTACACATAAGAGTGGCCCTCACATGCTCGCGTCGTGGAGACATTGCGACGGAGGGTTTTTCGCTATTTTTGGTTTCTAGTAGCCCTTACCGGCCTCGGAATCGCCCAAGCACGACTCAGGATGGAAAGATCTGAAAGGCCGATCCCAGGGAATGGGTTTAGACCTTTGGGTTCGACGTCATGGAAAAGTCATGACCCCGGGGTTTGGGATGGTCAACTACTCGAGACTACACATCGGGGTGGCCCTTCGCTGGAGTGACTTTTGGTGCCGGCCCAGAGGGGGCCCCCGATCGCTGAGCGCGATGCGACAGCAGCTCAGTTGGCACGCTCAGGTTTGACATCCTCGCGCCCCCCAGAGGCCGCACACCACAGCTCACGCTTGCCCAGGGGTCGCCCTCACGTGCACAGGGCTCGTTTCGATTCCTCCGATTCGATTCGATTCGATTTCGATGGCTTCCGATTCCGATTCGATTCGACTTGGGATTCCGATTGGGGTTCCGATTTCTCATTGGAGGCATACTAGCCTCCCGATTTCCGCCGATTCGACTTTTTCCGACTCGGCTGCCGATTTCCGCCGATCCGATCCATCTCGATCGCCGATCCGACTTAACGATTCGATTCTGGTGTCTCCTGCGTGCAGTCGAACTGCACGTGAGGCGCTCCAGAGGGGGCCTCGCCTTCGAGGGCCGGTCGAAGGAGCTGGCAGCTCGTCCTCGGCGGAAAGGCGGCGGAAGCAGCACGGGGGGGCGGCTCCGCTGGCAGAGGTCGGGGATTACAAGTGGCATTTGAAAAATGGCACGATCGGGGATTGAAGACGCTCCTGTGCTGGAAAAAACGTGCACTTCTAGCACACACCAGCACCCCCGTGCGGCACAGGAGGGCCCAGGACGGCCCACGAGGCCCCTAATAATTAGGCCCCGAGACGGCCCCAGCGAGACCCACGTTGGCCCAAGAGGCGCCCCAGAAGGCCAAGGAGGCCCCAAGAGGGGCCCCCGCGGAGGAGCTCTAACTCAAACTTCGAGGCCCCCCGCCCCAAGACGACCCCTGAGACCGCCAGCAGGCCCCCCAGAAGCTTCGCAGAGGCTGCCTGAGGCCCCCCAGAAGCCAAAACGAGGCCCCCAGCCGCCTCTGAGCGGCCACGCGTTCACATCCTACACGATATTCCCAGATATGTTTCTGCGGATATGGAATCGGATTTCGAGGCAGGCCTCGAGATGACAATACGCGTTGCAGAGGTGCCCAAGAGGCTACCAACAGGCTCCTGAGGCTTCCCAAGAGGCCACGCGTCTACACCCTAAACGATGCTCCCAGGGCGGTTTCTGGGGACATCGCTTCCGAGCTAGAGGCCTCCCTCGAGATCCCGATGGGCGCCGCAGGGGCCTCACGGACTCATCCTACACGGTATCCCCAGATAGGCTCCTGGGAATATCGATTTGGATTTGGGCCTGTCACAACCCTCGCTGGGATGCGACACTGGGCGTCGGACACCATATTCGCCGTCGACATTCCCAAGCTCCGCGTGCTTTGCCTGCTGCGATTCGCCGTCGCTGGCGTTTAGTGCATCAGGTTAATGCCCTCGGAATGGGGATGGGGAAATATTTTCGAGGAGCAGGGGACGAGGCCGAGGAGGAGGATGAGGAGAAGGAGAAGGACAAGGAGGAGGAGGAGGAGGAGGAGGAGGAGGATTTGCATTAGGAAGGGGAGGAGGCAGTCGTACGAGGACGGCGATGCCGAGCATTATGAGTGAGAAGGGATGGGCAGGAAGGACGCAAAGGACGAAGGAAGGACGGGGGGACCAGGACGAGGAGGAGCAAGAGGGGGACGAGGAGGGAGGAAGTGGCAGCGGGCGGGCCATGGGGGGCGTTCAAGGTTGAAGCCGTGTTGTCCCGAGGCGTCCCCCCCCGCCGCGAAACGCGGTCAAGGGGGACGCCCGGGGGGCGTCCACGGTTGAAGCCGTGGTGTCCCGAGGCGCCCCCCCTGGCCGCGAGACGCGGTCAAGGTGAGGTGCTTGGGGGGGCGCTCAAGGTTGAAGGCGTGGTGTCCCGAAACGCCCCCTGGCCGCGAGACGCGGTCAAGGTGAGGTGCTTGGGGTGGCGCTGAAGGTTGAAGGCCTGGTGATTTGGACCCCCCCCAGCCGCGGGACGCGGTCAAAGCGGGGTGCCTGAGGGGCGCTCAAGGTTGAAGCCGTGGTGTCCCGGACGCTCCCTGGCCGCGGGCTTCAGCGGGGGAGCTGAGCTGACAATGGTGCCTGGGCCGCGCGCGCTGGTAGCAGCCCATTCCACGGCTTGGAAGCGTGGCTCTCCCCTGCAGCTCGGCCACGCTCCCAGCTCGAGGGGAAGAGCAGGAGGAAGTGTTCCCGCATCGGCGCGAGCCATACTCATGGCCCGAATTTGCGTTTTTGCTTCTGCGTGGGCAGCGTTCCTGAGCTCGCCTAGCTGTTGGCCGTAATGCCAGCTTGTGATTAACACATGGCCAGACCCTCCCTGGGGCTGATGATTAGACCCCGCGGGGCGCGATACTTAAAACAAATACGCGCGCCAGGGGGGGGAGGAGAGAGGAGGGGGAGGGAGGATAAGGAGGAGAAACCGGAGGAAGAGGAAGAGGAGGAGGAGGAGGAGGAGGAGAGGAAGGAGGAGGAGGAGGAGGAGGAGGAGGAGGAGGAGGAGGAGGAGGAGAGGAAGGAGGAGGAGGAGGAGAAGGAGGAAGAGAAAGAGGAGGAGAAGCGCAGCTGGTTTCGGTCGCCGGCCCCGCCGAAGGGCCTGTCCTCGACGCATGGCCGCTTTCGGCGCCAGGAGGTGCTTAGAAAATCGGCGACGTGAGCTGCTTGGCAAATCCCCCCTTTGCTGCGCCGCATTTTCGTCCAGCCCGCCTTGCCCGCAGGCCCGCATCGGTTCGACAGAAAAACGGGCGCCCTGGCACGCCCTTGCCTTTCGACACCCCCCCTTGCCTCTCGTTGGCGGCCGGGCGTCGGCGCTGATCACCAGTGCCGCCCCGTTGATTTTCAATATGGCGGGCGCCACCCCGCGATTCGCCCGAGCAGGGGATTGTTTTTAACGCGCGCTCCCCACGGATTTGTTAATCACAAGCTGCCGTTACTCCAGTTCAGATAGAGTTCTCGCGCCAGCGCCAGCCGCATTAATTATCAGCCTGATCTGGCGCTCCCGCCCAGACGCTGAAGTCATTACCACTCCAGGAGGCCTGCCTGGTAGCTTTCGAGGCGGTCTCGGGTTTCGCTTGGGGTGAGTTGGGCCCTGATGGATTCTTCTCAGGACTCTGTTGGGCTCCTTCGGGATATTTGGTCTTCTGATGTCCAGACGGAGCGACAACGCCATTACCAATGTAAATCATACATCACACCTTCGCTTGCGCATAAGAGTGGTGGTGGGAGGGGGGAAGGTGGTGCGTGCCGCCACACATAGCCCCCAATCGCATCCATCCCCCACGTGCAGCCCCCAATATGTGGTTCCTACCTGTGGCCCCCAAGTTTGCTCCCGAAGTGTATGTTGTTTCGCACGCACGTGTGCTTATTTACGCACGCATGGGTGTTTTCTAACCTTCTCTTCCTCGCTCCTCCCTCTACTACTGCTCCCCCCCTCTCCTCATGCTCCCTCCTCGGAGTCTAGATGTCTGTTGGTTGGTCGCTCTGCATGCTCCCAGCTACGACCGTTCTGATTGCCACTGAGTTCTTCCCATCGCGATGCGATGTGTTGCTGCGAGTTACAATGCACGTCTTGTTGTTCTCGCTTGTCCGTGTATCGCGCGTATGAGATAGACCATCGGGGGCAGCGGATTTCCTGATATGTTGTTCTTGGCTGTTGTCGTGGGACAGTCGGTGCTTCTAACTTTTATGTTTCATTCAAGGTGTCGTGGATTTCGTACTTGAAGTCGAAGTCTTACTAGAACCTAGCGCGCGCGAAGCGCGCGCGTGGTCCTAGTCGGAGAATACTGGAGAGGCGCCCTTCTGTAGGGCGGCGGTGCGAGGGCGCGAAGATTACCGCGCATTGCGGGGCGCGATGCGCGAAGTTAGGTGACCAGGGCCCGCGAGGGCGAGATCATTCCGTGCAGCTCCAGTGCCACACCAGCGCCGCATACAAGACGGCAGCTCGGAGGTTTAGCGCCGCATGTTCGACGACCCCCCAAGGCAGGACAGCTATAGCAATCCATCGGAACACTGAGCACACCATCCTAAATAGAGCCAACACCAACATTGAAATATCATACGGCTCACAAGAAATTGCGAAGCCATGCCATGCACGTAATTAAGAGGACGACTAGGAGTTGTAGAGGGAGCGGGCGCCGTCGGTGACACAGGAGTAGCGGTGGCCGAAGAAACAGAACAGAAACAGCGCCAGGATGTCTGGGCATCAGGCTTCGTCCTCATAACGTTTTCGTATCATAACTCGGCTCTCCGGCGGCCATTCGTGGCGATCCAGGCGTCCCCGGATTGCTCTCGGCGAGGCACAGCCACTAGAAGGCACCCCGAGGCTGGAAAACCTCCGAGGGCTGACGAAAACGTCCGACCACCTCGAATCTCAAAGCCTCCCGCCTCCCTCCCGAGCACAGCGCGTGCTCTCCGATCTGGGGCACCTCCGAGGCGGAGAGGTGTCGGTAACCGCCGCCTGGGCGATCGATCTTCTGGGACCTCGGCAGGCAGTGGACACGGATATACTCGAGCACCCTGGGGCCGAAGCACATCCGTGTCCACCGCCCGCTGGGGTCCCGGGGCGTCGGCTCCACAGGCGGCACATGTGGATACACCCTAGGCTATGCTTAAGAAAACCTAAGTTTTCGTCCAGAGTCTCGATTATTCTTAATGTTTCAATGTAAATCCAAAGATTTTGATAGAAGTTCTGGGTTTTAGTAAATTTCTGAGACTATGAATGTCTTAACCCATGATTTCTTAAGCATTTCGCAGGGTGTACCTCCCCGCCTCGCAGCCCCTGCCGCCACACATGCTTCCGTAGTATACCTGGCCACGCTCGGAGGGCCGGGCGCCCGCGCGCACAGGCCAGCTGCAGGCGGCAGCCTGTCCAGGCGACTGGCGAGCCGCCTGCGCGACTCCGACTCGGACGACTGAGGCGGCGCGTCGGCGCCCGCGGGCGGCAAGCGAGCGATGCCTGACGTCCGGCGTCGCAATTTCCTCGGGTCGGGCGTCTTCCTATAACACTTCGAGCCCCAGGACTCTTGCAGGTTGAGCTGGCTCGGGAAATGCTGCCGAAAAAAGGGGTCCCGGGCCCTGGTCGTGATGTTTCATGATGTTGCATTTGTGTAATCTCAAACCCGGATAGCAGGGCGCCCGAAGGGCGTGGAGAGGACTGGCGAAGCAATCTGGAAGGACCTGGAGGGTGCTTCCAAAGGACCTTCTGGGGCATGGGCGCCCTCGGAGGGGCAATGGGCGACGTGAGCGTTTTGGGTCGTTTGGGTGCAATTCGTCGGAGGTTGAATTCATAATCAGCGCTGGTATGTCCCTGGTCGAAAACTGGTCCAATCTGGGTGAACTCCGCTTAATCCGGTGCGATCTCGGTTCATCCGGCTTGGGGTCTGCGGCGGCCCAGCAGTGGTTCCTGCAGGCAAGAATGAGGGGAGGCGGTACGAGGTTCCGGTACCGGGCATGTTTTTTTGTTCGGCCTCCGTGGGCCATTTGCGGGCCCCAAGACCGTCGTAAACGGATCTGGGGGTCCAGGGACCGATTGTGAGCGGATTTGCTCTTATCGAAGACGCTTACGTTGACTCATCGCCGCCCCTGCTTTTTAGGATACGCCAGTGTGGCCCAAGTTTGGGCAATGTTTAGCCACGTATTGGACCATGCCTTCTCCAAGCCTCTGTGGAAGCCATTCGGAGAACACGTGGGGGAGGAAGAGGAAGATGATGAGAAGCAGGAAAGAGGAGGATGAGGAGAAGTATCAGGAGACCTCTTCGGAGCTTCTTGGGTCATTCTTGGGGTCTCCTGGGAGCTTCCCTGGGGGCCTCTTGGAGGCCTCTTGGGGGACTCCTTGGGCCTCTTAGGAGCCTTTGGGGAATTCTTAGGGGCCTCTTTGGCCGTCTTAGGGCGTTACTGGCGTCTGACGCCGTTGGAGGCCGTCTTGGGGGCCTCTCTTGGCCGTTTTGTGCCCTCTTTGGGTGCTTAAGAGCCGTTTTGGATGCCGTCTTGGGCGCCTCGGCGACCTCTTGGCCGTCTTGGGGCAGTCTTGGAGGCCGCTTGGGCCGTCGAGTGGCCATCTTGGAGGCCTCTTGGGCGATGGTGGGGGCCTCTTGGGCCGTCTCTGGCCGTGCCGTCGGAAGGCCGTTTTCAAGTAGATACCAACATCCGTCAGAACCGACCCGAAAATCAATGATTCCTCGGGTTTTCCTGGAGGACCTCTTGAAGGCCTCTTGAGCTGTCTTGCGGGTCTCTTGTGGGACTTTTGTGTGCACCTTGGGCCGTCTTGGGTGCATCTTGGGGACATCGTTGGCTCTCTTGGGGCCGTCGTGGCCGTCTTTGAGGCACTTGGGAGGCCATCTTGGCTTTCTTTGAGGCGATTGGGCCAACGGAGTTTAGTTTTTCGGCGGGTTGTGGGTCCTTCTGGGTTGCCAGCGGAATCGGCCGAAGCCCCGGAAGGAGTATTTAATAGAGCCACAAACAACAAGAAGTTCAGCCTGCCAGGCACCCTTGTGCCCTTGTGATAAACATCAACAGGGGGCGGCGGATCGAAGACGCCTACGGCGAATCACTGCCGCCCCGTGCCTTTTGGAAGCGCCTGCGTGGCCGAAAGTTAGGTTTGAGCTTGACCAATCTATCGGGCCACGCGTTCCCCGAGTGGGTTTCGAAAGCCTTCGGGGAACACGGAGTCGGGCGAGCTATCGGACCAGGTGGTTTTCGAGCTTTCGGGCCTCCGTCTTGGAGGGGACTTGGGCCTTCTTGGAGGCCTCCGGCGGGCCTTTTGGGCAGTCTAATGCCATCTTCAGGCCATCTGGGGCCGTCTTGGGTGCATCTTGGGGCCATCTTCGCCGTCTTGGGGGCCGTCTTGGCCGTCTTGGAGGCATCTTGGAGGCCATCTTGGCCGTCTTGGAGGCCATCTTGGCCGTCTTGGGGGCCTCGTGGGCCGTCTTGGGGTCTTGTTGGGGCCCTCTTGAGTCTTCTTGGCCTGTCATGGGGCCATCTTGGAAGCCTCTTGGGCGCTCTTGGGGCGATGTTTGGGGTCTCTTGGGCCGCCTTGGGCCGTCGGAGAGCTGAAAAGGAGAACATGCAACATCTTTCAGAAACCAAGAGAAAATCAATGATGTTCGCCTCTTCGGGCCTTCCTGGAGGACGTCTTGGAGGCATCTTGGGCTGTCTTGGAGGCATCTTGGGCGCCTCTTGGGCCACCTTCGGCTTTCTTGGTGATATTTCTGCCGTCTTGGATGCCATCTTGGTCGTCTTCGAGGTCATCTCGGCAGTCTTGAGGTATCTTGCAGACCATCTTGGCCGTTTTGGAAACCTTTTGGGCCTTCTTGGGGTCCTCTTGGGGCTGGCTTGAAGGCCTCTTGGGCTGTTCTGGAGCCGTCTGGGAGGCCTCTGGGACTAGTTTGGGGACTCCTTGGGCCGTCTTAGGCGGTCGGAACACCAAAACCGAGGAAAAACACACATCCTTCAAATAACTGAGGAGAATCACAGATTTCGGCTCCCTCGGGCCTTCCTGGAGCACCTCTTGGACTCCTCTGGGGCAATCTTGGAACCTCTCGGGCCCATCTTGGGCCATTTTGGCCGTCTTAGCGGCCATCTTGGCCGTCGTGAAGCTCATCTTGACCGTGTTGGAAGCATCTTGGAGGCCATCTTGGCCGACTTGGACACCCTCTTGGGCGTATTGGAGGCCTCTGGAGCCGTCTTGGCGCCCTCTTGGGGCCGTCTTGGGGGCCTCTTGGGCCGTCATAGGGCCATCTTGGAGGCCTCTTGGGCGCTGTGGGAACGATCGTTCGGGCTCCTTGGGCCGTCGTGAGCAGTCGGAAGGTTCGAAAAGAACAAAAGCCAAAATCCTTCAATACCTAAAGAAGATTGGTTTTGACCTCTTCGGGCTCTCGTGGAGGACCTCTTGGAGGCCTCTTGGGCCGTCTTGGAGGCCTCTTGGAGGCCTCTGGGGCCGTCTTGGGCCGTCTGAGAAGTTTCTTGTGCGAACTTGGAGGCATCTTGGACTCTCATGGGCCGTCTTGGAGGCCATCTTGGACCATCTTGGGCGAACCTGGATGCCATCTTGGCCATCTTGGAAGCCATCTTGGAGCCATCTGGAGCAGGAAAAGTCTTTTGGAACCACCTGTCACGTATCTCCGGCGGGACGGGCCGAAACCCCAGGGGGAGTTCTTTTGGAAAAGCACCAAAACCAAAAGCAAAAGGGTCTAGCACGCCGGGCACCCTTGTGATAAATCAACAGTGGGCGGCGGATTTAATGGCCTTCGGCCCATCCCGCCACCGCGCATGGGTTGTAGGTCATAGGCCTCTAGGATGCTTCTTTGTCTATCTCGCGGGAGGCCTGTCGGAGGCTTCTTGTGGCCGTTTTGAAGCCTCTAGGGGGCCGTTTTGGGGTCTCTTGGGGCGTCTTAGGGGCCTCTTGGGGTCTCTTGCGGCCGCTTTGGGGCCTCTGTGGGGCTTCCTGGATCTTCGGTTCGTGTTCCCCCCCCTCTTAGGCCCGTCTTGGGGCTGGTTTGGGGCCCTCTTAGGCCGCCGTGGGCACATCTGGGGCCGTCTTAGAGCCCTCTTGGGCCGTCTTGGAGCACTCTTGGTGGCCTCTTGGGCCGTCTTGGGGCGCTCTTGGGGGCCTCTTGGGCCGTCGTGGAGCATCGGAAGCTCGAACAGTCGAGGACCCCAAACACATTCAAACACGCGAGAATAGTCATTGGTTTTGGCCTCTCGGGGCCCTCTTTGGAATGCTCTTGTGGCTCTCCAGGGGCGCATCGAAGGCTTCTGGGGCCGTCTTGAGCCCATCTCGGGCGTCTTGGACCGATCGTGCGGCGATTCGGGACCCTCTTCGATCGTGTTGAAGCCTTCTAGGGGTTCTCTTGGCCCCTCTGGGGGCCCTCTTGGGACGGAACAAGTCACGCGAGAAGCCGCGGGAAGTCCCAGGGGCCACGCGGCAATCCGCAGAAGATTTGGCAATTTCGGCTTTGATCCCCTTGAAGAATCCCCAGGATTGAGAACTGAGGCTTGAAGAGATTCCGCAAGGACCTGAGAACACTCCAGCTCGTGCACCGAGGGCACGGTGGCAGATAGCTCCACTTCCTGGCCGATCTTCTCGAGGCACATCCGGGGAGGGGAGGGGAGGGGACATTCATAGACCTCATAACAATCAGGAGGGAAAGAAACACACAGACACAATTAATCGTTGATTCCCCAGAAAATATGGGAAAATATGGGAAGTGGGGGGGAAGACAAAAGCCCAGAAAATATAGGAAAATATGGGGGATATTTTTATTTGTGTGTATTTATTTGTGTGTCCCAGTTCCCCTTCAGACAAGTCCCCACGAACCCGGCACAGTACGTGCAGTGCCAGGGGTGGCGGACCGTCTCCCCATCGTGCCATCAACGGGGGATGCGAAGTCCCTGGAGACGGGATGGGGTGGGCACAGGTTGGCATCATAACCGACCCAAGACCAATAGAGGTACCAAAGTCTCTGACCATCAGACTACCTAGGCTGATTTACTCACGGATCCAACGCTTCATCTTCTATTCAATTCATTCCATGCGTAGCATGCTCTCCCCGGCCGCCTCCAGCGTGAGCGGACCGGGTCGACTGCGCGGACGTGCGCGCGTGTAGGGATTCCAGCAAGGACGTACGCGCCGAGCCACGTCAAGGAGTACTGCCCCCAGTCCGCGAGACCAGCCTCGTGATACGAACGTTCGCGCAAGGTGTCTTCTCGAGACCAACGTGGGCTCATGTACGTTTGCGTCCCTCTTTCGCTCCTGCGCGTAGGCTGCCCGCGTGAGGCCGCGCGTGTGCGCCCCTCGGTGCCACGAGGCGTGCCGCAGCGGCGGCCCGCAGCGGCGGCCGCTGGGCGCAGGGCCCTCGGGCGCAAGGCGCGTTCTTCGCTCGTCGTCGCCCAGGTGGGGCCGCAAGCGGGCCCGAGGG